CTTCTCAGACAAGCTAATATTTGGAAAAAAATCTCCACTGAAAGTGATGTCTTACATATTATATTTACTCCCTTTTCATAGTTATAGAGTAATCACTCTCCTTTTGTTGCAAAGAACCACATCTGTTCAAAGATGAAAGAAGATGAAAGAAGGTTGGGGCCAGGCATGATGACTCACACCTGTAATCCCAGCACTTTGGAAGGCCGAGGGGGGTGGATCACTTGAGGTCAGGAGTTCGAGACCAGCCTGGCCACCATGGTGAAACTCTATCTCTACTAAAAATACAAAAAAATTAGTGGGGTGTGGTGGCGCACGCCTGTAATCCCAGCTACTCGGGAGGCTGAGGCAGGGGAATCATTTAAAGCTAAGAAGCGGAGGTTGCAGTGAGCCGAAATCATGCCACTGCACTCCAGCCTGGGCAACACAGAGAGACTCTGTCTCAAAAAAAAGAAGTGGGGGTGGCGGGGTCGGTTAGAAATGTGTACTAGAGCAAGCACATTTTAAACATAATTTTTTTTTTTTTTTTTTTGAGATGGGGCTTCACTCTTTTTGCCCAGGCTGGTAAACAAAAAAAATTTTATTATTATTATACTTTAAGTTCTAGGGTACATGTGCACAACGTGCAGGTTTGTTACAAATGTTTACAAGTGCCATGTTCGTGTGCTGCATCCATTAACTCATCATTTACATTAGGTGTATCTCCTAATGCTATTCCTCCCCACTTCCCCCATTCCATGATAGGCCCCAGTGTGTGATGTTCCCCTTCCTGTGTCCAAGTGTTCTAATTGTTCAATTCCCACCTATGAGTGAGAACATGCGCTGTTTGGTTTTCTGTTCTTGCGATAGTTTGCTGATAATGATGGTTTCCAGTTGCATCCATGACCCTATAAAGGACATGAACTCATCCTTTTTTATGGCTGCGTAGTATTCAATGGTGTATATGTGCCACATTTTCTTAATCCAGTCTGTCATTGATTTGGGTTGGTTCCAAGTCTTTGCTATTGCGAATAGTGCCGCAATAAACATACGTGTGCATGTGTCTTTATAGCAGCATGATTTATAGTCCTTTGGGTATATACCCAGTAATGGGATGGCTGGGTCAAACGGTATTTCTAGTTCTAGATCCTTGAGGAATCGCCACACTGTCTTCCACAATGGTTGAACTAGTTTACAGTACCACCAACGGGTGTTCCTATTTCTCCACATCCTCTCCAGCACCTGTTGCTTCCTGACTTTTTAATGATCGCCATTCTAACTGGTGTGGGATGGTATCTCATTGTGGTTTTGATTTACATTTCTCTGACGGCTAGTGATAATGAGCATTTTTTCATGTGTCTGTTGGCTGTCTTCTTTTGAGAAGTGTCTCTTCATATCCTTCATCCACTTTTTGATGGGGTTTTTTCTTGTAAATTTGTTTGAGTTCTTTATAGGTGCTGGATATTAGTAGACTGCAAAAAT